TTTTTTTTTTTTTTTGGTTTTTTCAAGACAGGGTTTCTCTGTGTAGCTTTGTGCCTTTCCTGGAACTCACTTGGTAGCCCAGGCTGGCCTCGAACTCACAGATATCCGCCTGCCTCTGCCTCCCGAGTGCTGGGATTAAAGGTGTGCACCACCACCGCCCGGCCTGTTAACATCTTAAATAACCAAAGTTTAATGGCCAAAATCAGAAAATTAACATACACCCAGTACAAAACAAAAACAGGATAGATTTTCTGATCTTGCTAGTGATTTCTCTTGTTTTCTTTAGATTTGTGTGGACTATCCATACGTGCATAGAGAGTTCAGAGAACAACTTTGGGAAGTTATTTCTTTCCCTCCACCTTGTGGGTTCTGAAGATTGAGCTCCTTAGGCTTGGCAACAAGCACCCTTAGCTGCCTCAGGCTGGTTTTTTCATTTTCATGTTCCAGAATCTAACATGGGATCCCACATTACATTTGTGTCATGGATTGTTAGCAGCTTCCAGTCCATGACAGTTTTTCAGTCCTTCCTCGATACTTCAGAAGTCCTGGTCTTTCATTCTGTAGAATGTCCCTCTCTCTATTTGAGTGTGTCTGGTGTTGAGTGGGTTGACGCTGTACATTTTTAACAGGAAAACCACAGAAGTGATGTGCTCTTCTCAGAGTATCATATCAGGGAGGTTAAATGATGTCACAAAGTCTTATTGCTGGTGATGTTAACCTTGATCACTGGGCTAAGGTGGTATCGATTGGTTTATCCTTTATAACTTACTCCTTCCCATTACAGTGGAAAATAATGTAGAGGAGAGTTTTGAGGACTATAGCAATATCCTCTTTTGTCCAGGAAGTTTAGTATCAATTGATTATTAGTTAAAGCGATGTTTATCAATTCTCTCCACTATAAAATTACTGTTTTTTCCTTTTCTGGTAAGTATCATAAAGGGAGATTTGAACCCAGGACTTGGTCATGCCAAACATGCACTCTACCACTGAGTTACACCCCCAGCTCCAATATCTTTTAGTAGAGTATTTCCTTGGTTTTTGTCAGTAAATAGAGTCTTAGAGATGTTTATGAACCTATTCAAGGTTATCAGTAAGTCTAGGTTTGCTATATTCTAAAGTCTTTGTAATTGCATCTTTCTGCTAGGATACGTGATCCTGCGTATGAGGGAGAAGGACCTAAGGAGATGAAGAGGGGGAATACTGTGGACTTACAATCTATAGTGTTGTGAAGATAAAAATTGAGGTTTTGAGAAAGGATTTACACTACATGAAAAGCATTTCTTACAAGCAAGCAGTTGCTCCTGAATACATAGTAAGATACTTGGATTAGGTGCATACTAACAGTGATCCTAGAGTGAGCAATAAAAAGATTTTATGTGAACTGTGGATGTGGATACAATCAAAATAAAGCTTGCATAAATCTAGAAAAGTTTCTGGTTTGTATTTGAAAAGTTTATTTCAATCTTGAATTGCCACTTTTATGAGATTAAATTTGAGACATTAGTTTTTTTTTTATTAAATTACCAAACTCGGACAGTAAACTGTGTCTTCCCAAAGAGTTGGTAAAAAAGAAACCATGGACTCTTAACATTAATTTATTCTTCACAGGGCTGGAGAGATGGCTCAGGGGTTAAGAACACTGACTGCTCCTCCAGAGGACTTGAGTTCAATTCCCAACACCCACATGGTAGCTCACAACTGTCTGTAACTCCAAGATCTGATATCCTCACACAGGCACACATGCAGGCAAAACACCAATGCAAATAAAATAAAAATAAATAAATTCTGAAAAATTATTCTTTATACCATTTTGAAAACGTTGGTTTAAAAATAATTTTTTTTTACTTGTGTCCAATGGCATGTACCTGGAGTCTCAGCTACTCTGGAGGCTGAAATAAGATGATAACTCAGATCTAGGAGTTTAGACCAGTTTGGGCAGTGTAGCAAGAAACTCAACTCAAAAAATGAAAAAAAAAAAAAACAAGGCAAGGTGACTCTGGGCATTACTGCCAATCTGAGCCTGATGCCCACAGCCTGCATGGTAAGAAAGAACCGACCCCTTCAAGTTGTTCTCTGACCTCCACATGCACACAAAATAAAATAAGTAAGTATTCCTAATTGATTTTTTAAAAACACATATAATGGCCGGGCGGTGGTGGCGCACGCCTTTAATCCCAGCACTCGGGAGGCAGAGCCAGGCGGATCTCTGTGAGTTCGAGGCCAGCCTGGGCTACCAAGTGAGTTCCAGGAAAGGCGCAAAGCTACACAGAGAAACCTTGTCTCAAAAAACAAAACAAACAAACAAAAAAAAACATGTAATGCATAAGACTCTGTTCTCAGTATACCTCTGCCTTTTATTAAATATGAACTATATATAGTCAAAGAAATCCTTTAGTAGTAATATATATTTGTACTAAGGAGATTGGCTTAATATAGATGAGTCAGTCTAATGAATGTGCATTGTTTAACAGAATGAAAACATTGATTGTTACTATATGGCATTTTGGGTCTTTTTAGCTGTTATTAACTATTTCTAATAGTCTATCTCCAAAATTTTAAGGAATTTCTTTATTTTTCTTCTTTCTTTCTTTTTTCTTGTCTGAGAACAGGAATAACAACTTTATTATAGTACAAGGGTCGAGATAGATGGGAAAGTATGATGTAGCAGCAGGTGGTAACTGCTCTGATTAGTGCCATGTGCCCATTCTGGTGGCCATGAATGAGCCAGCAGGGCCTCCGTTGTACGTCATGTCTCCCCAGTGCCGCCCGTCAGTACTTACTTTCTTATCAGAGATCAGGCTTCTTCTCTTTTAAAATAAGCAACGAAAAAATGATAACCCAAGCTAGTTTCAAACTCATTATCCTGCCTCCACTTCCCAAGCGCTACGATTAAAGGCATGCCATCATGCCTGGCTGCCAGACTTTCTTCTTACATATCAATGTTTTTGCGTTGTCTGTAACTGTTACATATAACTGTAACTTATGACTCCTGCTTTGCTTACCTAAGTCTCCCTCTTTTTTATGTAATTTTTTTTCTTCCTATATATACTACATTTAGAGAGTTAAACATTTCCCCTTTGGCTTGTGTCTCTTTCTCCTTAAACGTGTGAAACTTTGCACAGTGATAAAGCCAACTGCCTGAAATGTCCAATCCATGGCCAGCATTAGAAGTGCATCCAGTGAAAGTCCTGGATTTTCTCTAAGATGGCCAGAAAGATGAACAAGGGGTGTAGCTCAGTCAGTATAGAGTTTGCTTAGATTGAGTGAGGCCATGGGTTCCATTCCAGCACCACATAAACTGGGCAAGTAATACAGGCCTGCATCCCGAGCAATCACCTGAGAGGTGAAGGCGGGAGAACAGGAGTTCAAAACCCACTTCGGCTATATATAGAGTTTGAGGCCACCCTTGGTGTATGAAACCCTGTCTCAAAAGCACATAATTAATTGATAATAAAATGGTTGAAAACATGGCTTTTAAAACTAATGCCTCTTTTTTCATTTCATCTTTCTTTTTTTCCTTTTGTCTTTCTTCTTTTTTCCTCCTTCCTTCCTCTCTGTATCTCTTAGATAGTCCAAGCTGGCATTGAACTTGCTGTCCTGCCTCAACTTCCAGGGTGCTAGTATTACAAAGTGTGGGTTTCTATACCTGGCTCCATAATGTTGCATTTCAAGTTAAAGTGTTTACCATCGTGTTTTATATCTGTATGATATAAAAATCTGTGCGTGTGTGTGTATATATAATATATATTATATATATCTGTATGATAGTGTTTTATATCTGTATGATATGAAAAACAGCATCTGAGCCAGGTGTAGTGGCGCACACCTTCAATCCCAGCACTTTGGAGGCAGAGGCAGGCGGATCTCTGTGAGTTGGAGGCCAGCCTGGTCTACATAGTAAGTTACAGGACATCCAGGGCTACATGGAGGGCCCCTGTCTTGAGAGAGAAGGGAGGTGGGAAGAAGAAAATTAGCATCAAGGTTTTGAGAAATAGCTTGTTTTTTGTTGGGTATTGTTTGTTTGTTTATCTTTTTTTTTTTTTTTTTTTTTCTTAGACAGGGTCTCACTAAGCCACCCCGGCTATCCTGGAGCTCACTCTGTAGCCCAAGCTGGCCTCAGATTCACAGAAATCTGCCTGCCTCTGCCTCCTGAGTGCTGGGATTAAAGGCGTGCGCCACCACTGCCTGGCTGTTTGTTTGTTTTGAGACAGGATTTCTCTGGGTAGCCCCAGCTGGAATCATATTCTGGAATCATATTCTGTAAACAATTAAAATAACAAAAAAAAATTAGGAAAGAAAAACTCACTTCATTTGGGTATAGTGGCTCCCACTTGTAATTCTAGCCTGTGGAGGGAGATACAGGTAGCTTCAGGCCAGCCTGGGCCTCACAGGGATACCCTACCTCAAAAAACAATGAATAAGTCTTTAAAACTCTCTTAAATTTGAAATTTGACTTGATAATCACTTGCTGGTGATAAGGACTTTTTTTTCTTGTGGTGGGGACTTCTGGGGCTTTGTGCTGGCCAGGCAGTCAACTTGTCCAACTGGCAATGTCCCCACCTAAAAACACTGTGCTGAGTAGCAGGAGATTTATGAAGTTTGGGTTTGTTTTTGTTTTGGGTACTGAACCTGGGTCCTTTCATAAGTCAGGCAAAATGTTTTAAAGTGTTTCGTGCTTATGTATGTGGTGTGTTAGTCATTATCTTTCAGAGATAGCATATTTACACATTTATAAATTAAATAATGAAGCACCTGAGGTTTGCTTTGAAATAAAATGCATGGCAGCAGGTATTGAAGGTGAAGATGCAATAAGACCCATCATAGGTGTGAAGTTTGGGCAGACTCATGATAGGCCCGCCAGGAGCTCATGTGCTGTTCTCTGTGTGCTTAAAACTTCTTTTCAAATGTTCCCTGGTCGGTCCTCAACAGAAGCAAAGTGTTAACATGGTAAGAAAATTTCCTTCCTCTACTGATTGTGACTTTCCCACTCTTCTTAATAGACGAAAGACATTAAAGAAGTAGCCAGAAAGGCACAGGCTCTTCCAAAGGTGAACTCCAAGAGGCAGCGGACCGTGATCTTCACGCAGGGGAGAGAGGACACGATAGTGGCCACAGGTACGTGGGCGCTGTGTGCTCAACGCGGGGTTAAAGAGTCAGTCATGACAGCATTCTGTGTTCTGTCTCTCGTGTCCTCTGTGCAGTTTGACTTTGATTATCCTCCCTCAACCCCTGTGGAATGATTTTCCTTTCAAGATTATAGTTTATGAAAAGTCAATTGATGTAGCTTGTTTACTTTTGAAGTTTGGGGAAATCTTCTTAGTCCAGAAATACTTTTCAAGAACAATACATTTTACATATAAACACTTGCATCAAAATAAAATGCATTTATTCGATTATGAGCAAGTAAAATCCAGAAATGTTTCCTCTTCTGTTTTTTTTTTCTTGTCATTGTTGATTTGTTTTGTTTTTGTAATACTAGGAATTTATTTTTATTTTCATTTTTTGAAGCAGTCTCTCTATGTATTCTTAGCTATCTTGGAACTCACTGTGTACACCAAGCTGGCCTCCACCTCAAAGAGATTGACCCACCTCTGACTCATACCCAGCCCAATGCTGAGAATCTTATCTAGGGCCTTATGCATGCTAAGCAAGTACTCCACTGTTGAGTTATATCCCTGGCCATTTTATTTTATATAACCTTTTATCTTAAGAGAATGTCTCACTAAATACCCTTCAGTGGCCTTCAGTTCCTGTGTAGCCCAGACTGACCTTGAATTTGTAATCTTCCTGCCTCAGCTTTCCCAAAGAGCCAGGTTGCTGATTATAACCTCAGATTTTCTTTCAAGAAGGAAAAATCTCATGTCTGTTTTTATAGCAGTCATAGATATTAAATAAGAATTTCATTTAATAAACAAACATTATTGGTTAAAATAATTAAGATCTTTCAATATGAGGCTACTTCATACAATATTTTAGCTACTATTCAAGCTAAATATAAGTCTTTTAATTCTGTCTGAATGGTTCATCTTAAATATAAGCAGTTAGTTAATTATTTTTATAAGCAGTAATATGATTATTACCAATGTTCAGTACTCAGCTGAACACTGAATATAACATAATCTTTAAAGATCTACAAAATAAAATTAATATACATAAAATGTTGAATGTAGTCTAAATATATTTAAAGTATAATTATACTTCTCATTTGTGGATAATGTTGGCTTATAGAAGATCAACAAAGCCGGGCTGGAGCGATGGCTCAGAGGTCCTGAGTTCAATTCCCAGCAACTACATGGTGGCTCACAACCATCTGTAATGAGATCTGGTGCCCTCTTCTGGCCTGCAAGGGACACATGCAGGCAGAACATTGTATACTTAATAAATAAATAAATCTTTAAAAAACTCAAAGCTTAAAGAAAGGCATCCTACTGAAAGTAATTTTTTGTGTGTGAGTTTTTGATGCAGTTTCTCATTCACTAGCCCAGGCTCTCCTTGTCATCTCTGTGTACCCAGGCTGGGCTCAAACTTGGAGCAGTTCTCTTGTCTCAGCCTTTCAAGGGCTGAGATTGTTAGTGTATACCACCACATCTACTGAAGTGACTTTTTAAAAAAAGAATTATTTACTTTGATGTGCATTGGTGTTTTGCCTGCGTGTATGTCTGTGTGAAGGTGTCGGATCTTGGAGTTACAGAGAGTTTTGAGCTGCCACGTGGATGCTGGGAATTGAACCCGGGTCCCCTGAATGAGCAATCAGTGCTCTTAACTACTGAGCCATCTCTCCAGACCCTGAAGTACCTTTTTAACAAAGTAAATATATAAAAGCTGGAAAGAGTCACTGGTGAAATTATTGACCAATTTGGGTAAAGAGAGACACAAGAACTAATTTACTTAACCTTCTTGTTGTAGACTTGTCAAAAGACAAAAAAAAAATTGCTTTAAAAGAAGTCAGTAGATGGAAGAGTTAAGTGTAATCCATGAACTAAAACTGGTCAGGAGCTGATTGCTGACTGTTGAAGTTGGGTACTGGATACAGAGGGATTATGGGGCCGCTATACCTGTTCATGTACATATTTGACACTTTCAATGCTGAAAACTATTGAAAAACTAAAAAAAAAAAATTTGTTTGTTTTTTTCAAACACATTCTACCCTTGTTAAGTGACTCTCCCAAATAGAGAAATATCAATACTAAACCTTGAATTCTAGGAGGGATTTAAAATAGGGAAGATCGTGTAAGTAAAGGCACCAGGTAATGTGCAGTCCTTCATTGCTGTGACAGGAAAAGATGTGCTGTTAATTTTCGTGAGAAAAAAATAACCCATGAAAGAACATCTCTGCATGACACAGATGAGATCACTGTCTTCTTACAGTGTGTGGACCATTCCTGTCTTAAACCATGCAGGCTTCTTATAAGAAATGGAATGCTACTTCCAGATTCATTAGAAGCCTTTGGGTTACTCTTTGTGGAGACATTCTTTTTAAGTCTTCCTATAGCCAGAAACATGTATCATACAAGTGTCTTCCTCACTGTCAATTTGCATAATTTTCTCCAGACTGCAATTTAGCCTCCCTATCTTGTAACTGAATTTTTTTTTCTGAACTTACTTTACGCTTTATTGAATCTATTAAACCACCCTTAAGAATGCTTATAATCAGGAATTTATTTGAGGCAAGACACTAGCTAATCTTGCTGTTCTTGCCGTATGAAAATGAACTTAGAGGATGCAGTATATTGCGATGCATGATAAATTCAAGATGGATAGCAAATCTGTTCAGTGGTGTCAGCTACAAAAGCAAATATGATAAATGTTAATGCAGTGTTGAGCCCTGGGATAAGCTATTCCGTGCACAAGCGTAGCCGAGTCTCTTTGCTGTGTTGTTATTCATGGCAGCCAAATAAATGTCAATAATAAAAGAGAATTAAAGATTTTCATTTCCCAGAGGCAGTCCTCTAATACAGCTTGATCTTTCATTTCATTTGTAATTCGTTCTCATGTCGGGATGCAATCATTCGCCAGGCTCTGGGTGTCATGTTAAGTCATTTAATAATGATTAAGAACATAAAAATGCTTGGCCTGTGGGGCAATTCACAGAAGAGATGCCAATTTGTTATTGTTTTCCCTTCTTTCCTATTGAATATGGATCAGCCTTTTCCCACCTCCCAGCATTAAAATACTAATGGAAGATAGGGAGGGAAAGTGTCCCTTAATTTACCATAAGTGACATTCCAGAATGGTACAAGACAGTGCTAACACACTTATTAAAACACTAATTAGGACTCAGTGTGCCTTAAACCTCACACTGCAGAGGACTTTCAAATGATCACACTGTTAAGTTTAAGGCATTTAGCAACAATGTTAACAAAATCACTTAATCAATTCCCTTGGCTTTTCGTTCTAGAGACCTATCTCTTTGGAGATATGATCTCTGTAACCACTTTTTCTCATAGAGACTTAGAACTGAAAGGCCCGTGCTGTCGTATGCAAATCATCTAGTAAATTTTGAGTAAGTGTAGACCTCCCTTTTTAAAGTGTCTTCCCCACTCTGACAACCCCACTCTGAGCCACATTAGGATAGGCATCCTTGGGGAGTTGTGTGAGGAATGCCAGTAGCAGGATCTGGAGGAAAGCTATATTTCTAGAAAATTTTCCCTTAGGTGATATAGCTATTCTGTCTATTCTCATATCTCACTTTGAGAATCATTCAGTTAAATAAATGACTAAATGGCCAGGTTTTATGATTCTGTGGAATGATGGAAACAGAATAGCCAAACATCTTCTTCAATAAGTCAGGCCTTGATACATTCCTCGTTTTCTTTACTCAATCAAAAAATATCAAGGACTAGGGACTGGAGAAATGGCTCAGTCAGGAAGAGTATGTGCTGCTCTTCCAGAGGACCCTAGCTCAGTTTCTAGCATCCACGTTGGACAGTCACCTGTAACCCCAGCTCCAAGGAATCCAGAGCCCTCCTTGGCATATAGCATACATTCACACAGGCACATAGATAAAAATATTTTTAAAATAAAATGTAAAGTATCAAGGGGGCTGGAGAGATAGCACTGCCCTTAAGAACATAAACTCTATCGGAAGACCCATGTTCAATTCCATCCCCCACAAAACATCTCTCAACCATCTCTAACTCCAGTGTTAGGGGATCTGATGCCCTCTACTGGCCTCTTGGGTACCAGGCACACATGTGGTACACAGACACACATGTAAGCAAAACACCCATATATATAAAATAATTGTAAAAATGTATGAAGATAGGAAAAACTATCTAGAACTCATTGACCCTTTTGGACAAACTACAGGTTGAATTATTTCCACCTTTGAGGTACATCTAACAGTGTCCTGTGTTATTTCATTACAGGTAATTGTATGGAGGTGTTGAGTTTACTTGTCATCCTCCTGAGTCCTTAAATAAACTTATTACTTCATCCCTCAGTTTCCATGTTCTTTGAAAACACTAAGTGCTCTCCACCACTCTATAACGAAGAGTCTGTGTATTGCATAAAACTCAGAAAGCACACAATAAAAAAATGCAGATTGTAGGGCTTAGAAAGATGGCTTACCCGTTACAAACACCTGCTGTAGGTGTTTGGATCCCAATGCTCATCTAACAAGGAGGTGCCCCATATTCACCAGTAGCCCCAGTTCAAAAGGGTTGGAAACAGGATGACTGGCCTTACCGCCTTACACCCTAGTTAAGAAAATGCACGTGCATTATAATAAGCTGTCCGTATGTGCAAGGCTCATTCCAGCCTTTGCCCTTTTCTTATTTATGTATCTCCCTCTTGCCTTAGATTCTGAAATGCATTGTTTACTTGTCCCATCATAAAGTTGTTGCCCCCTCATACCCTTGAAAGAGCCAGGTGCACTAAGTGTCTGTCATCGGGAGTCACTTAAACTGCTTCTTTATTCCGTCCACATTCCTGTGGCTATAGTATTCATTTGTAGTACAAGTACTGCCATTGGCTCCAATGTACAGCCTATCTTGGTTTCCTTTTATATCCTGGTTAACTTTTTTCAGTAACTAAAATTCATTCTTGGTAATGTCATCCTGGGGATTTAACAAACACATCGGGTCTTGTAACCATTGTGGTATTGAAGATTTTCA